CTAACACTAACCTCACAACGAGCAGGCAGCAAAAATGGCGTCTAAAAAGTACGAGATTAACAAACCTCTACCGGACCCCGGCCCGGACAGCCCGCCTTCTCAACCGCATCGGCCCGCCGAGTCCACGGACGTCTCCTGCGAAGAAGTCGGGAAGATCGTGCAGATCACTCTGGTAACACTCGGCATGCTGGCGATAGCTACATACTTCGTCCTTATTAAGATAGTAAGTATTTCTGTGTAAGTCTCTTTTCTTCTTTGTGGCTCATGCTCAACATGTGGTCGGTAGATAACAAAGGATGTGGTGGTGTAGTGGACTGTGCTTTGAAAGTTAAATCAATAAGTGTAACCTGTTAAGCACTTAGTCCCTTTTAATGTGTCAATCCAGTGTAAAATGTTGATTTGTTCTTGTCGTGTGGTGTAGGACCCGCCATGTTGTTTTTGGTGTTAGCGTTGTGTTTGTCTAAAACTTGAGGTTTTGTTTTCTCTTGTTTTTGCTACGTAGAGACGAAGAAAATCGTTACTACAGGCACCGGTTTAAAATCGTGATTCTTAGTTTGATATCTGATCGCTTTGATTGAATTGCTAGAGATAGAGAGAGAGAGAGAGAGAGAGAGAGAGAGTGTGTGTGTGTGTGTGTGTGTGTGTGTGTGTGTGTGTGTGTGTGTGTGTGTGTGTGTGTGTGTGTGTGAGTGTGTGAGAGAGAGAGAGAGAGAGGAGAGAGTGAAGGGGAGAGATTGAAAGAGAGAGCGAGAGAAGGAGAGAGCGAGGGAGACAGATAGGGTGGCGCGTGCTTTATAAAATATCGTTATGGTTGGGATTGGTATTTGACATTCTTTGCACTGTAACTTTGTGTTGGGTTTAACGTTTACAATTTTATCATTGACAATTTCTACATTACCTATTGCTTGGCTTACACACAAAAACACTAGTAACATGGACTGGATTAGGACATTTGGCAAATGCACGTACAGATTCCAAACGTTCCTCTCTGTAGCGGTACGTGGGGAGGAAAACACACCCAGTATCATAGCTGCCATTTCTATGACGTACAGGTTACGGCTTGTCTCTGCCGTTATGGTACACCCACCACCTAAAACATGCCATAAAAGGTGTGTTCACTTCCTGGCTGGCTGACTGAACGTTAGAAAGAAAGCCCGTTGCCTTGTTTAGTGTTAACCTTGCGTAATACGCCGAGGGGCATCTACAGTATACTAAGCCAAGTCAAAGTATATTGCACAACGATTGTAACAGTTACAATGTATAGCAGATAATAAGATTACTAGCTGGTACGAGTCTATCGAAATTCTACATATAGATTCAATGGGTATATGGCAGAATGTTGACTAGACTGAGTAAGAACTAGTACACCTATACATGTACGTTCTAGGCTACGCTACTACATTTCTAAAGAGTGCAATGAGTAGTTGTATATATACTATGCAGGTTCTACGAGTACTACACAGAGTGTCGACTGAATTACTGGCTAAGATCTGTTACAATTCCACCAGCTGTACAGATACAGACCCGCTAAATCTAAACGATAACGTTAGCACCGAAGCCTTTTGACCCGTTTTCGTTTTTGCATTTTTCTCTGACATCTACAACACATGGCAGCAAAAGAATGCAAGGAATGCCGCGCTAAACAAACGGCCAAAAGTAAATAATTCTAAAGTATTTCATTCAAAGGTAGCAAGCTCTGTCAATACTTTTAATGACGTCTGTAGAAAAAACAACAACGTTGATTTCAAGATGTTAAGCACGAACAAGAATGTTTGCTTTAGCCAGTGCCACAACAATACGCTGAATAGTTTGTTTAATCCCACGACTGTTCCTAAATAGTTAGCAATTGACCTTATGTATATATTTGCCCCCGAAATTCAGTTGTTGCAAATTTTCAATTACACATTTATAAAGGCTCCATAGCAAACAATTGTTTTAGAGGATGACAAAAAGAATTTGTGAAATCTAAATGGAGTAAAAGCCTAGAATATGAGAATTGAGACTAATCCAGGGGTTTGATTTTGTATAGCATATTATCATTTACCTGTACGATGACCCTCCTCAAAAAAGTGTTGCTACGTATACAGCTATATAAGCCTTGGAACATTTCATTTTGTGATTATCCCTTCTAAGATCATCTAAAAATAGCCTCGACTGAATGTTATAACTATCAACCAAAGAGTTGTGACAGGACCAGATGACGGTACAATGGCCCAGTACTGTTTGCACACGAAGTCAATGTATAATTGATGAAATGAAAACGGTACGTGATATGTTTCCCTTACAGTAGCAGTCTGGAAATCCAGGCTTCATTGGGGGGGGGGGGGGTACTGGAGTTCTATTTTACACAAGTAGTACTTTGTTGAATTATCTCACCTTCTTAACGTTTTGATTGCTATCACTGACACCTCCCTCAGAGTTTCTGACTGGAGTGCTTCTTCTCACCTCTATGTAGCCTATGTAGGTGGCGCTTTTTCTTCTGTGTTTGGCTACATGAAGCAGCGAAAAGCATCATTCCCATCAGAAGCTCTGAGAAAGGTATCTGATAGACATCGAGGAGTAAGCAGAAAAACTCCAATACGCTATATTTTGTACCAACCTGGTACAATTCGGTTCGGATGTAGTTGGATGTTCTATGTATTGAACAGGTTACTTTTCAAGACATTCAAGGTGTAAGACATATATGTTTCAGTATAATTTTTCCTCTTTTGTTCTTGTTTTATTACAGATTCTGTAAAGATCACCACCAAAGATTCGTCACCGTCCTCACTATCTGGTATAGTCACAGCGACTTCTTGCGACTTACATCTGAAGCACAGGGTCCAAGAGCAGCGTCCAATCGCAAAATCATATTGGTCATTGGGCGAACTGTCGCATTTCTACAGGGAACCTGCGTCTTGGAAATGAAAATTCGGCAAGGGAGACGGAATGATGAAAATAATCCTCGACTGTTGCAGTTTTTTTTAGATACGATTTGATGTGAACACTCGGAAATATTTACCCTTGTCATCATTTGAAGGAATCTATAAAATTAAGACAGCTACGTTGAAGCTACTAGCATGACAGATGTACACGTTTGAAACATATAAAACAGATGTAGACTTTACTAAGATACATAACGTTACATGTAACGTTACTAGTTATACATTGTCCATAGTTTGATCAGAATACTTTAGAATCTGTATATACACAAGTTTTATTTTTCCGTTCAAAATGTGTCAAAATATAACATTTAAGTTGTATGAACTCTGCCTAGGCCGAGAGTTTGTAATATAGATGAGTAAACAACATACAGCGTCAAAAGTAGAAGAAAAAGTTATATTGAAAGTTAAATCAGTGCAATGCCATGCAGAAATTGTCCTTTTCTGTCGAACTAAAAATACCCGTCCATGTCATTCCATTTATATTGAAATACTTATGTGCGAATCTTGAAACATATACATTTACTTCGAATCAAATATGTCAGCAGGAAAGACAAATGTATTTTTGCCAATGACCAATACTACACTCATATGGATCATAGAACGCTTCGTGCAGAAAATATTGCTTAGTGATTAAATGTTGTATCTCTTATTGTCTTACACTTTTCTTCACGGCGTTACCCTTCTCTACGTTCATTTATCTTTAAGAAAGAAAAAAAGAAAGAGAGTCAGAGAGAAAGAAAGGGAGAGAGACAGAGAGACAGAGAGAGAAAGACAGAGAGAGAGAGAGAGAGAATGCGAATCTTATTATAAACGCTGTAAGATTAGCCATTAGACTAAAGGGTATCTTAATTCAGCGAATAAATTGGGGACAGAGAAAGAGAAAGTTAGGTGAGCTTGAGTGCGATTTGCTTGGCATAAGGCAATCACGTGCCTTTATATCATTCTGAGTTATCTTGTCCGCAACCCAACACAACTGGTAAAACCTAACGGTACAAATGTAAACCCTTTGCTGAAAATAAAACGCACTTGTAACGTTACAATTAAGGGGGTGTATCCACCAAATTCCTTTCCTTTGTCTAGAAATTGTCTAGGATGACCAAATAGTTTGTCAGTGGAGTTTTGAATTTCTCTTGTCTTTAAGGAGAGCTAAAGCAAAACATCTTAAATCCTCAAAATGTCTCCAAACATTCCGAATAGTTTCACCCAACCCGGTGCACCCTGGGAAGTGCCAACATGGCGACTTGCAGCTGTTTTGCACGCACACAAGGTTCGTATGTCCATATTGTTCATCTTTCCGTCCCTCTAGAATCACTCTCTACAACCTTAACTACAAGTAAACGGATGTAGCACGGGTCTGTACCGAAGAGAGGTCTTGTTACGCCTGCTTGGGTTTTGAAGGGCCATTTTTGTATCCCGGATTTGGGCAGACCCGGAAGTGGGTACCGCCCCCCTCCCACTAGAACTAAACAACACACGACGGGTTAGTTCTTACATTCACTACTCTCCAAGCAGAGGTTTGGGCTTCAGCTTAGTTTTGCCTTGTTTTATGCGTTTTATCGGTCTTTGTTTCGTGTAGTTTTTCTTGGATAGTGCTTGGCCAGTTTGATATTGTTTTGCCAACTAACAATTTGATACTGTCTTGCCAATTTGATACTGTTCGGGGGACCGTTCGAGGCTGTTTAAGTGCTACGCCTGTAGGAGCTTTGCTAATAGAGTTTTGAACGTTAGGAGTTGATTACTATAACTAGTAGCCCCACCACAATATCAGATCGTGGTAGGCTAACATAATTCTGTCGTGCAAAACCTACTGGGAGCCTAGTTAAGTTGCAAAGAGCTCCTGCAGCACTGAAAAAACATACCCTAACCTCGATAGACTGGATACCAGGCTACTAAAAGATCTTTGTTCATTTGTTTGTTTCCCATAACCGGTAAACTGCCTTTTTTTAAGGACTGTAACACACCAGTTTTATACATGTAATACAAGCTGTGTAAGACCAGCACACTGTAAGGTTTGAACCACTCAAACTAGGAAGATTTGCTTGGACTTTTTGGAGATAATTTTTCCCTCCCCTGCAGCAGTGTTGGAAAGATGAGGCTGGGTGTGTGGAGGCTGTTCTTGTTAGCGCTGGCACTCCTGCTGCTGTCCGGTGCAGATGGAACCATCCAGCCCAAGTCCAAGGGCAAGAAGAAGGACAAGAAGAAGGAGAAGAAGAAAAATGGGGTAAGACGTCTTTGGACATTGATTAAAAATTCTTCTGGCAGTTTGGAGGAAAGGAAAGTATTCTCAATTGGCTACTTCACAATCAGCTGTGCCCATTTTTTTTATTACTAGTACATGTTATCAGTATAGCAAAAGCTACACCACATATAATTGTTTTAGACTTTTATCAGCCAAACAACAAGGAATGTGTCACATAAAGAATTTTCCATTTTCAGCTCACTGAAGAGCTAATCATGGATTTGAAGACAGATGCTATGTACAGTATTTACAGCTTCGTTGTACTGGGGGAATTTTCCCTACTCTAGCTCTTCTAGACAATCATAATGAACAGTGGACCACAGCTTAACGTCCTGTCCTAAGGACTGCAACCCTCAACAGTATTGTGCATGTTGAGTGGGCAACAAAAGATGGGATTCGAACTCCAAACCTCTTGGTCCAGAGTCTCTTACCACTGATAAAGATTCTATTTGTTCCTTACCAGTACAGTCAACCTTTGGCAATCCAGACTGTGAACAAATTGACTGAGAAATGATTGAATTCCACTCCAGGCCACCCCCCTCCCCACCGATGAAACAGTCCTAGAGCGAAAACTTGTGACAGAGAAGCCGAAGACTAAAGACATCCTGACTGAACACACTCGCTACTCCATATCATCTATAGAGACCAAGAACTTCCCTGGTACTGTGCTGGGGTATGTCACACCGGTAAGTACCAGAAATCTGCAAATGGTCACTTCCAGTGGTTTTACTTACTAGTAAGTTTTTGTGGTGACCTCTCTACATAGAAATTATGATACTTAGCTTTGTCTTTCATTATGTTACTGTGATTGTTTTAACCATGAACACAAAGAAATTCTGAGCTTTCGATTTTACTGTGTGCAACATTCATGTTGAACAAATCTGCAGTACATGTACCAATAGTGTATTGGCCAGGATATCAATAGGTAAACATATAATTACCATAGATAATTCTGATCATGATCACTGGGCCAAAATAAGGATTTCTTTTTTGCTGGGGGATTGTCAAACAAAGAAACTTTAATAGCAAGTGTGGCTTTAGGGCCCTGGGTTAAGAGTGCCTCCTGTCTGTTGTTAAGTGCATGACAAGTGGGGCATCCTGTAACCGTAGACAACATCCTGTAGGGTGTGTGAAACTTGATACACACAGAACTTTCATGATACACAGATCATGGAAGAAGAACTTTATTGCGCAACAATTGTACATGGTACAATGTTTGGAAACAACTATTGGACAACGTACATTTACAAAACAATATAGAACTAGAAAGGCCAATATTTGCTTTGGAGCAAATATAGCGATGGGTTCACCACATTTTACCACATGGCAGGGAAAGAATGAGAAACACAAGGGAAAACAATGCTTTACATTGATATAACTATAGTATGAAGTAACATACAACTAAGACTACAACAGTTGGATAGCTATTCCCTACATTATTGGTTAGGATTGCATAATGCAAACTGTTGATTTTCAAGATAAAAAGAAGCGTTCATAGCCCGCATTCCAATGCTGGAGCAGGAAAGCTTAAAATACCTACCAAAACACTTGAATACAGACATACTGTCAGTATGGCATGGCTCTGTGCAGGTGTAGCCAGTTAAATCCCAACAGCCAATCAGCAAGGAGAATAGAGGAAAGCTGCATGCCTATTGGTTGATGCCTTGCATGCCATTGTGATGACTCATGTCCAAATGTGGTAAACACTGCACACTTACACAGTAATACATTAGCTATTACACAGCCAAAAAACTCAAATAAAACCATTCTAAAAGCCTGTTGGGGGGGGAGTTCAGTGACTGCTTCCCTACGTCAGTTGGAGTACGCCAGGGATGTCTTCTTTCTCCGACACTCTGCAATATATTCTTAGAGAACATAATGAGAGAAGCCTTAGCACCAAAAGTAGCACCTATCAAACTGGCAGGATGCACCATAACCCACCTCCAGTTTGCGGATGATGTGGATTTGCTGGATGGGTCAAGAGTGGATCAGCAATCCCAGATCAACAGCTTGGACTCCACAAGCAGGAGGTATGGTATGGAGATTAGTCTGGAGAAAACCAAATGCCTTGTATCTGGTCCGTCTGATACAAATGGCCAAGTCACAGTCAGAGGCACAGAACTGGAGCAGGTCAGTGAGTTTACATACCTCGGCTCTGTCCAGACAGAAGACTGCAGCTCAGACAAAGAGGTGAAAGTCAGGATTGCCAAGTCAACCCTTGCACTGTCAAAGCTAAAACACATCTGGTGCAGTCATAGCATCTCCATGCCAACAAAGATACGCCTACTACGCTGTCTTGTGCTATCTATTTTCTTGTATGGTGCTGAGACATGGACTTTGAATGCAGCTATAGTGAAGAGAATCAATGCGTTTGAGATGAATTGTTATCGCAGACTGCTACGAGTTCACTGGACATCACACACTACAAACAAAGAGGTCATGGAACGCATTTACACCTTGCAAGGCCCACTCGACAGCTTCCTGGCCACAGTTAAGAAGGAAAAGTTACAGTGGTTCGGACATGTGTCTAGGGCCAAAGGCACACTGTCACATACAGTTCTCCAGGGTAAGGTGGAAGGCGCACGGCCGCGGGGACGTCCCCGTCGGTCATGGATTACAGACTTAAAAGAGTGGACTGGTGTAACAGCCAACCAGATGGCCAGACTGGCGGAGGACCGCCAGCAGTGGAAGAACTTGGCCAAACATCATGCTGCCCCGACGGCTGACTAAGCTATGGGAGAGAGTAGAGTAGAGAGTAGTAAAAGCCTGTATCACAATAATTTAAAAAACGCCTAGGGGTATTTGCCCACTGTACCTCCATACCAAATTTCAGGACCTTAGGCCCTAAAATGAAGAAGCTGAATCCATTTAAAGATATGGCAGGAGGAGGAGAAGAAACATAAGAAAAAGCAATATGGTTTCACCACACCACTTCGTGGTGTGGTGAACCCATAATAAGACCTAATATAGAATTAAACCTAATAAATCCTAATTACTGTACTCAAACAACAAGGGCTAGCACAAGTCTGTCTTTGAAATAATGTTACATAGATGTGATGTTGCTAACATATTTCTAGGGAAATCCAACCTGATTTGTTGTTGTTTATCTCCTTGTTTACAGTGGAATAACCATGGTTACGACGTTGCTAAGATATTCGGAGGGAAGTTCAGTCTAATTTCTCCAGTCTGGCTGCAGCTGAAGAGGATCTCGGCAAAGATTTTCCACGTGGAAGGAGCGCATGACATTGACCAAGGTCAATGTACTTTCTGATTCTAACTTTTGATTACAACTTGCATTTTTGTACTTCACTTTTTTGGTATCTTTATTTTCTACATGATTTAATTCAGCACACAATTAGAACAATGATAGTAGATAAGCTATAACGTGTTACATGTAATTATATTATACAGAAATACAGTGTTTCTTGCCATGAGCTCTACAATATTACCACACTGATGTGCCATGTCTTGCTTTTTCCATTAAATTTGTAATTTTTTTTGTATTCCAGGCTGGATAAGTGATGTCAAGAAGGTCTCTGGCAGAAATGTCAAAATGGGTGAGGGAATTTGTGTCAGACTCTACCATATGCAGACAGTACTATCATATCAGTTATACATATCAGGCACAAGGCCATGTGTGTTATGCTATACAGATTTATACATGTTTTATACAAATGTAAGTTAGTGCATGTTAAAAGAACACCATTAATTTTTGAATCTCAGAAGTATGATATTCTTAGATCTGAATGGATATTTCTAAACATACCTTTAAAATATTTATCTCAAGTGTCTGATTATCATTTGAACCTGTTTGGTGAATGAGTGAATTTGACTTCTCCTTGCTGTAATAACCTGTGACCTATGTTTCCCCAGTCCCGAGGCTGTTGTTTGATGGCTGGTCCGTGCATGACTATCACTACCTGTTCAACAGTGAAGACGCTGTAGAAGACATGATCGACACTGTCATCAAGTTCTGTAAGGTCAGGACAAGTACACATGTAGGACTTTTAAATTAAATGCACCCAAAGTGATTCCAGGGCTGTAAAACTAGCCTGTAACAGGCTTTGGGAAGCGGCTGGAAAGAGTAGAAATCTCTGACAGCCAAATAGTTAAATGATATGGCAGGGGAGTTGGTCCGTACTTAAAGAAAACTTTGCCCCTCCCAAACTGCTCCCTTAATGTTTTCATCAGTACTAAGTAGTGGATGTTACTAGAAACATCTGACAGTTTCCAACATCTGACATTAGAAACGTATCCAGTCACATTTTCCCAGGTAACATGTACATGTATCTCATTACCCGGATGTCTAACTTTAATCCTTCAGTACTTTTCTCTTTTTCTAGTTTCGCCAGTTTGATGGAATCGTTCTGGAGCTGTGGAATCAACTAGGTGGTACAAAGAAAAAGTAAGCTTAAATATTTTTTCTAAATATTAAGGGCGCTAATTTAGGGTTACCAAACCAAGGGTTACCATAACCCTAATCTAGGGTCATGCTAACCCTAATAAGATGACCTGTAACTAGATTTAGTCAAATGTTACTAATTATAAAAGTCTTTTTTCATAAATATACAGTATGCAATAATGTACAACAATTAGGTATTAAAAGATGTTACATCTAAAGACATGAATCATGTTACATCTAAAGATTTGAATTGTTGTTTATAAATAACATGATTTTTTTCTGTAGGGACCTTACTCATGTCATCAGCCACATGGGTCAGACCTTCACTGAACACAACCTGATCCTCATCACAGTCATTCCTCCACCCTCCATGGGGTAAGGACTAACCAGCTCATTCTATACTACTTCTGAATGTGAACATGACAATCATTTTGTTATAGTCTGTGTTTTGAAATTGTATAACCTTTAACCATCCTGAAGCATAATACACCTGTTTTGTACAGTAAGTACAAGCTTTGTGAGGACGGGCTGTAAGGTTTGCTTGTTTATATGAGTACAATCTGAACACTATATAATATTGTAATGTTTCTGTGTCTCCTACACCATCTAAAATGTTTGTTTGTTTGCTTGTTTGTTTCTTTACAGCCCAGGTGGTCAGGACATCTTCAACAAAGATGATTTCCAGTTACTGGCACCCTGGGTACACGGCTTCAGTCTGATGACCTATGACTTCTCCAACCCTCACAGGTATCATACTAGTGAATGTACAATTTTTGATTTTTCAAACAAGATTTTTAGGTATCTTGCAAGTTCATTTGTGTTGGTAGTTACATGTTTAATGTTAGAAATTTTGCTCCAACACAAAAGTTGATCTAGACTGATCAAGTCTCACTGGGTCAGTCTACTAAGGAAGACCAGGGTAGCTGGTGGAAAGCTGTAGCTGAAAACATTAATTTTTTTACCTTTTGTGTTGGAACAAAAGTTTTAACTTTAAACAAGATATTTAGTTACTGTACTGCCCAGAGAAATTAGTACTTAGCAAATAAAAGTATGCAGTCAAACCTGTACTACTGATTCTAGACCTTAACACTTTTGCATTTATTAGACCATGTACAAGTTAACTGTATGTTACTGTATCTCTCTGTATCTATGTACCCGGCCCTAATGCTCCTATAGACTGGTTGAAGGCTTGTGTGTTGGTCCTGAGTTGATTGTGATTGTATGTTTTGTCTCCCATGTTCAGACCCGGCCCTAATGCTCCTATAGACTGGGTAAAGGCTTGTGTGCTGATACTGGACCCAGAAGGCACACACAGACATAAGATCCTTCTCGGACTGAACTTCTACGGCAACGACTACACAGGCGCCGGGGGAGGACCAATCATAGGCAAACAGTATGTCTTAACCCTGCAGGCTTGTTTTACACACTATTTTTTAAATGACTTTATGTCTTAATCAGGTCATAGACCTTTGATTTATTTTTTGCATGTGTATGTGTGTTATTATGTGCATTTTTAATATGTTTTATATGGGCAAGTCATGCCTGAAATAAAGACTAAAGTAAAGTTGTTGCGTTTCGCTGCGGTGTGATGCGTTGCACAAGAAATACCTCCATGCCAAACCGTACATATACAGGACTCTATGTGGGTGGTACTGTATGTGCATTACCTATATTTATATGGGCTCTGCAGGACAAGGGTTGTTAAAATAGTTGACATTTGTTTTGTAGATGTAAATCTACTTAATAACTGTTGTCAGTTGCCTAGATGTAGGACACACAAACATTTTAGTTATCAGCAGAGAATATCATTTATTTTATTCTTGTTCTTAAAATGTTTCTTTGTTTATTACAGATATATAGACCTTCTCACACAGTACAAGCCAAAATTAAAATGGGAAGAAGAAACAGCAGAACACATGTTTGAATACAAGTAAGTTTATTTTCAGATACTACATTTTTCCTACATACTTCCTTTGTGCATGTAAAATGCAATTGTTTGTTCAGGACCAAATTGTTCATCTTTTGAACTTTCAATTATTTGGCATTCTATTTTCTGCATTTGTTTTAATTGTTGTTTTGTTTTTGTTTTTCAGAGATGGGACGACAAAACATCTTGTGTACTACCCGACTCTCAAAGTATGTTTAAGCACATATTTACCTAGTAACTAGTTCACTTAGACTATCATTGTTCTTGTCCTATGCTAATTGTTGTTGGCATCTTCTGCCTGGAGAGACAATGGAGACCATGTCAGTTCCTACACCTGAGTGAGGAGGGTTGACACGGTGGCCTTCACTTGGATTTGTTCATGGTGGATATTAGGTTGTGAATCTGACACCCACACACTTTGGGCATCCGCCTTCTCCAGTGGTACCACATAGAGGGAGATGTGCTGGGTCCGGTTGGGATGCTATATTTTATTTAATGATGTATGATAATCTACATTGTCTCATGACTTCTGTTTTTTTTTCCAGTCAATCCAGGCACGTTTAGACCTGGCCCAGGAACTAGGAACTGGTATCTCCATCTGGGAGCTGGGACAGGGTCTGGACTACTTCTATGACCTTTTCTGAGTCATCGTTTTGGTAACAGGCCATGGGTACGACTTCCAAAGAAAGTCACCCAGTGGGGGGAGGGGATGTTTTCAGATAGCCATGATCTTGAATCAACCTTCCTTTTAACTGTCTTATCACTGGTATCATCATTTTTCTAAAAAAAAGAGGGCATATACTGTGTCAATCCTCCAGCAACAGAAAAACAATATTACCTGACATTTAGGTGTTTTTGAGCCCGTAATCCTACATACAAAAATTACTACAGCTTGTTGCATTTCTGTCTGTTAAAAGTTTGTGTAACAATTTTGGCAAATTGAAATGATCTAAATTTTTGTTTAATAATTGCATGATACATGGATTTGCAGAGATATAGCAAAGTGTGATTATTTATATGTAGTTAACGTAATCATATCTTAGTCTAGGATTGAGGAAAGTAATTCAAAGGTGCCATAATAATCAAAATGTGTAGAAAAGATCTCTACAATATCATAAAGAACATCTCTCTGTGTTACTGAAAAGCAAAAAATGAATAGGAAATTTGAACTTTATTTTGGGACAGAGTTTTAATTGATAAAACAATCTTTTTCATGGTAAACTGTTGTATTTTTCTTGCTGATTGTTTGACATAAAATCCATGACATCTTTCTATCATGATGATGTTGTAACACACGTTTAAAACACACCTCAGCAACATTATTCTCTTTTATGTGAGCATGTGTGTTTTGGTAATTGTTGATGGAGATGCTTGTTAAATTGAGGGAACCAGACATAAGTTTGTCACAAGCTAATAAACATGGTCTGAGACATTTCAACCAAGAATGTGTGCATTTTATTGGCCTTTGTGGCTTCCCTGAGTTCAATATATTGCGAATTCTTTGTTGCTTGACAACCAACAAGTCTTTTCTTCTTCTTCTTCAATGTTCCTCTGATGAGGTGTAGCTAGTGAAGTTTTGTCTCCAGTACAGTCTGTCAGTCATTGCAGACAGAAGTTCCGATACTTGCAGACCAGTTTCAGACTCAATGAGTTTCTTAAGAGTTGTGCTTGGATGACCAATTCTCCTTTTTGTATCTGGGTTCTTTTATTCCTCGTGAAAACAGCAATAAATCAGTGGAACAACAGTTGTCGTCCTGTCCTGTTTCTTTCCTTTCATCACATCTTCCCTTATCCCACTGTTGTGACTAATTGGTCATAGTTAAAACATGGAGGTAGAAAAAAAGAGACCTACAAGAAGCAGAATTTCTTGCTTTTTTTCCTTGGAACAGGCCAAAATCAATGCGCGCACAGACATCATCCATAAAAATTACTTGGTGTGGCCTAAATAGAGACACTTGTCCAGTTTTTGTTAGTGTTACTTCTATTTGTATGTGTAAATAGAGTGTCTAGCTAAGTACATGTAATTTTATACATGTAACACTTGTTATGTGAATAAAAAGTGTTGTTGAAATAAAGATATTGTTGATATACAGGCTTCTATATACTATATACTGTATATATGTACTAAAACACATCAATCCCTCGCTTTCCTGGGTGTTCTGTTGTGTCAAACAAAACGTCTAGTACAGGTCACAACTACAATACTTAATACATGGAAGTGATGGTGAGTTCAGCACCAAGGAGATGTCCACACTTGGGGCACCCCACTTAACAAAGGGGGGTATCACCAAATTGATTTATATAAACACTTGCTATGCCATACGGTATCCAGATTGTTGGGTTTGGCTACAAACAAGAAGTGCAAATTGTGCAGCGAAAATAATTACTTTTGATTGTTGGTGGAATGGTGATGATTAATTTTCAAGCGCAATAATGGTTAATCTCGTTCTCACCCCTATGTAATTATCACACATGGTACGGTCCATTCGACCAAGGTGCAGTGCAGCTGAGCTGTGTGACACACGTTGTCGTGCTTGAATTTCCTCCAACTTTTGGGGTAAATTTACGGCTTTTGTCCACAAATTATCCGCCTAAAGTGTACAGTAAATCGTTTGAACGTTTCCAGGTCGGATTTATGCCGTTCTTTGGATGTTTGGGGGAGAAAATTCGTGTTTCCTGGCAGGGCGAAATTTGGAGAAGAAGCGAAAATGGCGGCTGCCATGGCGGAAAGACGGCGTGGTGCTGAGAAGACTCGTTCTCTGCGAGGTAAGGCAACAAACTACCGCCTTAAATGTACATATTTGTACTTTCAACAAACCTGTTACAACAGGCCACGTTATAATTTGTTATGTTAACCGTTATATTTCGTAGAAATTTGCGTTTCGTGGAACGCTATTCTCGTACACGTGTTGTTACACTTACAGGCCATTTTGTACTCGAATATTTTTGATACCTGGTTGTTATTTTGACTATCATGGTTTGGGCAAGGACGTTCTATCACAAGGACTGACAACAGCATTAGTTTCCTTTCAGCGATGTTCTTAGCGGTTGTGAAAATTTGGTATCAGGTCTTTTCGTCCTCAAGTGCAATTTCGTCCTCGAATTCTTTCGTCCTCGTGGTCATGGATGTTTTGTCCTCACCATGGATGTTTTGTGCTCATCATGGATGTTTTGTCTCTTATCATGGATGTTTTGTCCTCGCCATGGATGTTTTGTCCTCGCCATGGATGTTTTGTCCTCACCATGGATGTTTTTGTCCTCGCCATGGATGTTTTGTCCTCACCATGGATGTTTTGTCTCTTGTCATGGATGTTTTGTCTCTTGTCATGGATGTTTTGTCCTCGTCATGAATGTTTTGTCCTCGTCATGGATGTTTTGTCCTCGTCATGGATGTTTTGTTCTCGCCATGGATGTTTTGTCCTCGCCATGGATGTTTTGTCTCTTGTCATGGATGTTTTGTCCTCGTCATGAATGTTTTGTCCTCGTCATGAATGTTTTGTCCTCATCATGGATGTTTTGTCCTCGCCATGGATGTTTCGTCCTTGTCATGGATGTTTTGTCTCTTATCATGGATGTTTTGTCCTCGTCATGGATGTTTTGTCCTCGACATGGATGCTTCGATGCTTGTTTTCTTTTTATTCCAACATCTAGTCACAAGACAATAGACACATCCATCAAGAAAGTGTTGAAGATGAGTATCATTTTCTAATGACTTGTACTGCCTATTCTACAGATAGACAAAAGCTAGTAAACCTTTCCCAAAGACAAACGCAGACATTTTCAATTTACTTATGTCATGCCCCGGCTCCATATACTTAGGCCAATAACATTATATGTGCAGTGCATTACAAAAGAAAGTATTGTTGCTGTAACAGATAGCAAGGCTTGACGTACATCATGTCATATGCCACTTAGAGTACGTTCATATTCCTGTAGTAATACTAGATCGCCATGTCATTGTTGCCATTTTGTACCATGTACAACTGTCGAGCAGTAACATTCATTCATTCATTCCACCAGCTATGAACGATGCAACCAACCTTTAGATCCAGGCTAGTATGCGACAGAGGGCGGTGGACAACCTGTTTGAGTTGGCCAGCCAGATCGTGGAGGAAGTAGTCATGCAGAATACAGACGTACAGGCACCAAACCTGGATCCAGCCCAGCATGGCAAACATGGTAAGCTTTTTATTCTAACTAAAAACGTTCAAAATTTAATTAATGTGTTTACCTTGCAATTGTGGTGTCTCATGTTTGTCTCATTTTTAAAGATGTGTTTGTCTTTTTTGTATGTATGACTTTATATGTTTTACCCCTTGTGTTCAATTTAGTGTCATTTATGAAAATCTGTACTTCCAGATCTGCATGGCAAACAAGCGGTGACAGGAACTTCAACCCAGAAGTGCAACACCTCCGATGGGCATAGTGACGTCACCTCGTCTTTGCCAGCAATCACCAACTGAAGCTACTGTCCAGGGCAAAGACGTGGTACATGGATGTCACATTCAAGGCGGTAGGGCAGCCATTCTACCAACTGTTCGGCATCCACGCATTTGTGCAAGAGGACGAGAAAAAAGTGCCTCTAGCCGTCGCCTTCATGTCAAACAAAGACGAGGGACTACAAGAGGGTATGGAGGTTTTTACTTTGTGCGATTTCTGATTTCATATTCATGGGAATTCCTTTGAGTTTGAATTGGACATTAGTTATCTGTTTCATATTGTTGTACCGTACCATGTCCAACATTGTACAAGCCTTCGGGTTTTATATATTCAGAAGTACAATTATAAAACTATCCCCTGTTCTTTGCCTTTTTAGGTTCTGAATAAGATCCTGTGACTACTGCCAGGAGAACTGAAGGTGACTACGCTGGTGATGGACTTGGAGCACCTGGGTCTGTGGCAGGCAGTCCGATCCATCCTACCAGGGAAGACCAGGAGAGGGTGCGCCTTCCACTGGACACAGGCAGTATACTGCAAGATACAGGAGGTCAGTATGTACATACAATAACGTGGTTCTTTCACATTTTATATATTTGCTGTGATCCAGCTCGAAGCCGGACAAACAACCAGTTGCTATGGGGAAGGTCACGTGATTTAATACGCCTGGTTGTTTTAATTTTGTCTGTAGACAGTGGACACTCGGGTGTATTCCTCATTTCTAAAGTTTTCAGTGTGTACAGTAACTTGTTTTTGGTCCGCACCCATTATGCTTAACATAGATACTGGGTAGTTCTTTTTGAGCTGAAAATGCATTCAGATGTTGGTGAACTACATGTAGACACAGTGTAAGAATGGACCAAACAAACCACTGCAGATTTGGAGCTTTTAGAATCTTGGAAAGTTTAGTGTATTTTGGATTTATTATTGGCATTAAGGTACTAGAAAGTTGCAGGTCGGCAGAACGTACTACGCCTGCACAAAACCCGGATTTTTGGTCAATGTTGCATCAGAATTTTGCCTGTTGCAGAAGATATCTTTTCCGACACTATTTGAAAACCATAGACGGGATGTCAACCTTATATTTGCGAGTACGGCCTTATATGAGACGTTCTGCAGAAGTGCTATACACAATGGGTTTCGTTTGCAGTACTAAATGTCAGTACTTTTTGGCAACATGTTTTCCTTTGACAATTGAATTTCTCTTCAGTAAAATTAGGGTTTTGATGTTGGCACTAAAGTTGAATGTCTGGCCTGGTTTATGTAAACTTGTTTGTTGTGCGAGTCATTTATTTCTTGCAAGGCCGATTGCTGTTTTCTATACACTGACTTTTGTTTCTCCTGTCTTTCAGATGTGGACCTGGTCTGAGCAGGAGGATGAACCAAACTTTATGGGCAGAGCTGTGTGAAAGAAGATGGGGAGGTGTGAGTATGGTTTCTTTGTTAACACAAGACAACACTCCACATGCTTTCAGGCACACACATGCAAACTCACGTTTCTCTTTCGCCCAGTTCTTTCTACTGCATTTTAGGGTCAGCATGCCTTTTTTCCGTGGCGTGAGGAGCCCTTTAATCATAGCCGGCAACTTAAATTCGACATTTAGCATCACTGAAAAATTCTTCGTATTGTGTAGTTGAATATGCCAAATTGCCCCAAAATTGTTGCTTTTTTACACTTAAAACTCTCTGGAAATGTAGTTGATTGAAACTTTCCTGTTGG